TTTGACATTTTGAAACCCTAAGTCCCAAAATCAACCATTTAAACAATAGGCTCAAAATCTAGGTTAAAACCCATAAGAGTGAGTAGGAATCCCTACCTCAAAAGATGAGACCCAACGAGGAAGATGATGAAAACAAAGTTGCTCAAAACCACAAGTTTCTTGGATCAAAAGATAGCCCTCGACGATCAACAACCTTTTTGCAAAGGCCAAAGGTGAGGAAAACATCCTAGCTAGATCAATATCTAGAGAGAATGTAAGGTTTTAGAGAGAGATGCTCTCAAATGGCCTTTTCGGAAAAGTAAGAGAGAGAAAGGGTGAGAAAAAGTGATTTAAAACTGCCCTATAGTCAACTGATATACGACATTCCCGCTCGAGCGGAAAACACAACGCTCGAGCGTTAAGAACAAAAACTAGGTCCGCTCGAACGCAAAAAGACCCGCTCGAGCGCCAAGACACAAGAATAAAGTAAATTCGCTCGAGCGCGAAAACCAGCCCGCTCGAGCGTAGATTTCTCCCTCCCAGAACTTACACCCAAAGGTACTACCCGCTCGAGCGTCAAAGTACCCGCTCGAGCGCTACCGCTCGAGCGTAAAGAAACCCGCTCGTGCGTAAAAATCACACCTGCAGAAGTTTTGCAGGGACACGAAAAACTGGGAACGTGCAATCTCCGCTCGAGCGCAAGAAGACCCGCTCGAGCGGACCTCCTAAAATCTGGGTAACAAAGAATTAAAACCAAAGCCTAACCAACCTGTAACAACTCTGCCCAATACATCCTAAAACTCAATCAAGTGGAATTAAAGTATGACAACAAGTTGTACCATTACCAACATCACGGAACCGAGCCCGGAATACAACAGAACAGTAAAGGGACAACCGGGATCGCTATAGAGTAGCACCAGTGTCCACCCACCATTCTTTAGGATTTTCGACAAAATTTACCTTGGAAACAACTGCAGAAAGATTTATAATATCTACACCATTGGAAATTTTTTTCATTTCGGTCATATTGGCTTGAGCAGGCTTCTTGCTTGTTCTTCCTTTGCCTTTGCAAAAATCAGTTCTTAAGAACTTCTCAGACTTTTTACCATGATTCACTGGTACAGTCACAACACGAGGAGGGGTTAGCACAATTGTAGCCACCATACCAATATTGGTTCGAACATTAGTTTGACCAGTTTCTATAGCCATAAATTTTAAATTATAAAACAAAATTATAATTAAAATTTTTATATTATACAGAAAATTAAACCAAACTTACAAAATTAAATTCTGTAAAAATAAAAGAAATAAGAATTGTACCTTTTATTTCCAATTAATTTGAAAATAAAATAAAATTTTATTTAAAACAAATTAATTCCACACATAAAATTAAATTCTATAAAAATAAAAAGAAACAAGAAATGTAACTTTTATTTCCAATTAATTTGAAAATAAAATAAAATTTATTTAACCAAATTAATTCTACATAGAAAATTAAATTTCTGTAACACTTCAAAAATTAAAATACTGAAACAGAATTTTAATTAATGAACACTCAGAAATAATTTTAGAAAACCAAAATTAATTTCTGACCAACTTCACAAATAAATATTCTGAATTGTTAATGACTCCAGTATATTACTACTAGTTGTCTAAGAAAATAGATAGTATATTACTACTATCTGTCAAACAGTATACTACCACTATTTATTTTTCCAACCAGAATATTATTTTGTAAAACCACAAAAAATAATTTCTGTAAGAAGAAGAAGGAGAAAAGGAAACAAACAAAAAATTCTGTATAAATAGAATAATTCGAATCTATCTTAAGATTGTTAGAACAATCTTCTGTGTACAATAAATAAAATTGAAACTAAATCAGACAAATAAAATAAATAAAGTACCGTAATTATTTTACTTAACCGAAGAATAATAAAAAGATCAAGTCGAGTGTATGATATTCTGTCCTCAAGACAGATTCGCCCTGCTACGGTGCTTACGGACTGATGGCGTCTATCTCCTAGGATACAATGATCTTCACAAATTGTAGTAGTACTCCAAACAATTTGTACGACGAACTAGAACCTGTGTTCTATACTCTCTAAATTTTTTCTAAAAAGATATGAAGAATATATGTAACAGAGCAAAGATTGGATAGCAAAAAGAATTTTTTCAGACTGTTTTTGGATGTCTAGACTGCTGGAACAATGCTGGTATTTATAGGCAAGATGACCTACTCGAATAGGTTCAATTTTGAACCGAACAGGTGCAAATTTTGAATGAACAGATGCAGTCCAAAATTCAATAGATCTGCTGGACAGATTCATCTGTTTGAACTGTGCAATTTGTATCTGTGTAACTGTAGCAGTTTCTGGCAGTTTAATAACTGTCAAAAACAATTTAAATCTATTCAAAAATAAATCTGTTGTGGAATCAAATGAACAGGTGCAATTCAAACTCAGATCTGTTGAAACCCAATTTAAATCTGTTCAAATCTGCCTGGGCATGTTTAAATCTGTTTGGGAAAAACAGATTTGTCCGGGTGCAACAGATACTTTTTGGACAGTTAATCTGTTTGAAAAATTGGACTGAAGAAGTAACAAATGGACAAAAAAAATTAAATTAAAAAATAAATTAATTTCGATAAGAATTTTGGAATGAATTTTTTCCAAAAAATTAATATAAGAACCGACCCAACCTACACCTGCGTCTGGCAGGGCTCGATCAGATGGCGGCGGCGCGCGCATGTGGTGGTTTGGGTTAAGGTTCACTTTGTCCATAACTCTTTCCTTCTATAAATTTGGGGTGCCCCTTGAGGCCCAATTCAAGTTAGTACACCAAGAACTTATATACCCACAAAAACTCTCTTAAAGTTTCAATGTGGGACAGCCCATTTCAAGAAAACCCACATTTATTTCTTTAATTATTCATTTCACGAACCCGAAAACGACGTAAACTTCCCATTCAATCATAAATAGTTTTGACGAACCATCTTCACCGTGTGACTTACCATACGACAAAAACACGCCACCTCTTCGGACCCACCCCAAAAGACGTTTGGGGCCCACTCAATTTTGGACTCAAAATTGGTCTAAAATAAGCCTTGTAAAGCCAAATTTTCCAACACCAGCAGCATCTAATTGTCACTGAACATCATTAGAATAATCTCACTACAGACAAACTTAATCCATTCTGGTAAAATTAAAGTAGGAGACATGAATACAACCGATAGCAAAAAAAAGAAAATAAGACCATCTCCAACGGTGAACCAAACCTGGCATCAAATTTAAAATTTGGTGAAAAAGTCATTTTTTTAAGCTCCAACGGTTTCACCAAATCGATATCAAATCCAGAATTCAGCAAAAATGGTACCAAACTGAGTGCAGGCGAAGCATTTCACCAAAGCACTGTTCCTAACCGTTGGGATGAGACGAACGGGTCGACCATCCGGTTGACCAACCGGTTAACCAACCGGTCGCCCCGGAGAAAGTTCAGACCGTTCACAAAAAGGTTCAAACCAGTCAAAAAAAAAAAAAAAAAAAAATTTGCCTAGGTGGTCGACCACCAAAAGTTCAAAAAATTCAAAAAAAAAAGGACAAGTAAAAAAAAAAAAAAAAAAAAAATTTGCCTAGGTGGTCGACCACCTGGTCGACCGGCCGGTTGACCACCCGATCGACCACCAAAAGTTCAAAAAATTCAAAAAAAAAGGTTCAAACAGGTAAAAAAAAAAAAAAAAAAAAATTTTTTTGCCGTTACCGGTTGACCGGCCGGTCGATCGGCCGGTCAACCAACCGGTTGCCCAGCGCAAATTTGATGAAACGGATTTGATGTTGAACCGTTGGAGCGCGAAGTATCAAATTAAGGAAATGATCCCTTTTTGACTCAGATTTGGTGAAACATTTGGTGCACCGTTGGAGATGCTCTAAAATAAAAAGGGGAAAAAAAGGAGGATGATACCAAATTCTCATTCACAAACAACTTGGTAACTCAATCAACTCTTGCTGAACACCATATTTCCGCATCTTGAAGAACCATCATGATTGTAGCAAAAAAGGTTCAAACAGGTAAAAAAAAAAAAAAAAAAAAATTTTTTTGCCGTTACCGGTTGACCGGCCGGTCGATCGGCCGGTCAACCAACCGGTTGCCCAGCGCAAATTTGATGAAACGGATTTGATGTTGAACCGTTGGAGCGCGAAGTATCAAATTAAGGAAATGACCCCTTTTTAACTCAGATTTGGTGAAATATTTGGTGCACCGTTGGAGATGCTCTAAAATAAAAAGGGGAAAAAAAAGGAGGATGGTACCAAATTCTCATTCACAAACAACTTGGTAACTCAATCAACTCTTGCTGAACACCATATTTCCGCATCTTGAAGAACCATCATGATTGTAGCAGTAAGATTAGGGTGCCACGTACTCCAATCTCACAAAAAGGTCAGTTCACCACAATATCGCAAATCTTTTGCATAGGAAGTAAAATCTGTTTCTGAATTATCATTTCCGCCTTAACCAAAACATTCACACACACACACAACTCTATGGTGTATGATTACTCATTTGATCAGATACAAACTCTTTCAAAAGCTTCAGAGACTGGTGATGGAGGTTGAGGTCAATACCATCTACATTCCTACCCACTCGTGCCTTCAAAATTGCCTGAAACAGCACAGTTGAGAGTAACCATAACTATGTTGCGAAACACAAACAAAAGCACACCCTCAAGTCATAATCAAATTTTCAGATCGATAGTGCAGTTGAGGAATGTAAGGGACAAATTGTGCATATTAGCTGCTAACATTTCCTCTAATGCAGGCTAGCACTCTTGTAGATTGTACTTTGGACATCTCTTACCTCATTATTGGGTTGAATGATGAGTTCTCCGATGAACTGGTAGATAGATCCAACTCGAAGATTGACATTTAAATGCTGGGTGTCAATTTTGAGGGAGGCATTTCCATCAATGATTACAGCAAGTGCAGTCTCTACAGAATAATCTTGCAGCCTAATGGGAACATAAGATGAGTAAACATTTTCAAATTGCAATAGAATTGGACGATGCAGTCTCTATCAACTCAGATATGGAACCCATTCATTGCATTCTACATGGCATTTCAAAGTAATTAGGGTTTACTTCAAAAACTGAATAATTGAAGAAACTATCCCAATCTAAGCATGTTAAACTACTTACAAATCACATTCAAACACAAATCTTTTCACAAACACACAGAGATTACTACATACATGCTTGGAATTTAGAGCTCACTGATCACAGAGAGAGAGAGAGAGAGAGAGCTTACGATGAAGGCTTGTTTCGGCGAGTTCCAGAGAGGCCTTCCCTTTGCTCACTTCCATTTTTCTCTCTCACTTTCTGTTCAATTCATAGTTCTAGTTTTGTTTTGTTTTCTTTATTGTTTTATTTTTTTCTTGAAATAATTGTATGAAAAAATTACAAATCATTTGTACTTTCAAAAAATAATTACTAATGCATAGAAAAGTTTCTGCCCTCAATAATTAAAGTTTGTACAATTTATTATTAATTTGAATTTTTTTTCTTCAAGATATTTACTGATATGTTATTCTCTCCAAAATTAATAGTGTATAATTTACTATATAAATGAGAAAAATTACTTTTTTATTATTTTATCTAGATGAATAATAAATAAAAGAGAATATATGCATTTTATTTTATATTTAAATGGGTAATTTAATTATTAGAATTTTTTTTATAAAGATTAATTTTAATTTCTTACTAAGAAACAAAAAATGAATTTTAAAAAATTATTTTTTCGACATTTCTCTTAATTTTTTACTATTTTTCATCTCCTTAATTATTCAAACAAATAATGAGATTTCTCTCTTAATTTCTTGTTCTTCTTTTTCTTTTTTTTCTTTTTTTTTTCCTCATCAAGTTTCTCAATCTAAACCCACTGCAACACTTAACATATATTACAACCTTTGTGTTGGACTTTTATTTCTTTTTTCTTTGTAAAAAAAAAAACAAAAAACTTTTGGAATTTGTCATCTAGTAAACCCAAAATATAAATTCAAAAATTATGCAAAAGACGAATTGAAGGTGAATTATTCTAGTTTTAAGAGAGTAAACAAATTCAATTTTTGAATATGTGACACTATCAAAAAATTGTTCAGCTTATTGAGAAATTAGGTGAGAGGAAGGATTTTGAATAAAATTTTTGAGGTTTATACCTTAATTCCCAAAATACCTCATTATTCTCTTTGAAGTTTTTTTAAATCACTACCTATCAACATACATCAAAGCTTATAAATGTAAAGCATATATAAAAAATATAACATATAATAAAAATACTGAATTAATGAGTTTTATACAATAGTGATTAATTAAATTACATGAACATATATAAGAAGGAAAAAACAAATAGAAGTAAATTGGACACTTAAATATCCAAATTTGTCACCGAAACCTTATCTCCGATGCCACATTTTCAGCTCGAATGTCTGACACTCGAACCACTACCCAGTTGTTTTCCTTCTATGCACCTCCAAGCTTGCAGCGAAAAATAATTTTTTTAATGGCCTTCCGTGATATTTACCATTTCTATGATGATTATAAAAAAAAATTATTCTCTTTTACTCTCTTTCCGTTTCAGCAAATTTAGACACAACAATGGGGCTTTGGTTTCATTCGATCGTATATCATACCTAATGAAATACTTGAGAAGCATAATACTCGCTCTCGCTGAACCCAGGTCTTAAATCTTCCCGGGACATAAAATCCAAAGGAAAAGAAACGAGATGTCCCTTTACCGACTCTAATCTCTCCAAGGGATCAGTGCCTTTGATATTACCATCTTGATATGATTCTAGTTTCTCTGGGGCTATTCCTAAGTCAATTGTAGTGTGGCCGAGTTTTTCCTTCCAGCATGTCGTGCATTGTTTCAGTGCAACTCTGCATGTGATGGTAGGATGCGTATGCATTAGAAACCGAGAAAAAAGGGAAATAGGAGAGGAAGTTGGCAGCAAGATCGTACCTGGAATGTATTAGATCATTTGGGATGCAAGAAAAGACGTCTTGGTAGATCATGGTATTCGTCTGTCAATACAACATCCGTATTTAGTTATCATATCATAGGAATATAGATGCAAAAGATAAATATAGAAAACCTTCTTCGCAAAGCCCTTGCTTTTTTACTCACGAGCAAACTCAAACTATTAAAACATTTATGTTCTCCATTTAGAAGACTTGCATGTTGTGTTTCAATCTTAAATTTGTGGGAGGAAAAAAAAAAACAGAGAAAATTATTTTTTTTTAAAAAAGAAAAAAGAAAATAAGAGCTTCTACTTGATTTATTTTTTCCTCCACAAATTCAAGATCTAAACACAACCATAATATTTTTTTAAAAGCCCGACTACATCTGGGTCCCAATCTTCCCTTACCTAAACCTCCCTCTCTCTCTCTATCTCTCTGAATTTAAATCCTTGGTCGTCATGTCCATGAAAATAATGAGAATGGCAATTTGAGCAAGTTTTTGACTCAAAGCTAACATTTTATCATCCTCACCTTTGCCGTTTAGAAGGCTTAGACTTTGTAAGTTGAATCAACCACCGGGTCATTTATTTGACTAATCTGAATAAAAAAGAATAATACGCAGTCAGCAAGGTATAAGATTAACACAAGCATTCATTAGTCTCTCGTTCAAGTTTCTACTTCATTTCTTTTTTCCCTCCACAAATCCAATATCCAAACATAACCATAATATTTCTAAAAGCCATACTGGATATGGGGTTCAATCTTCCCCTACCTAAAACACACACACACACACACAAAAGATTTCTTTTCTTTTTTTTCTTCTTCATCCAAGTCTCAAGCCTGAAGAAAAAATAGTTTTAAAACATTTTGTCATCCTCACCTTTGCCGTTGCCATCCATATGTCTTTGTAAGTTGAATCAACCACCGGGTCATTTATTTGACTAATCTGAATAAAAAAGAATAATACGCAGTCAGCAAGGTATAAGATTAACACAAGCATTCATTAGTCTCTCGTTCACTAACCTGTCTTGGCTGTAGTCTTATGAAAAAAAAAAAAATTTGTTTTGTTAGATGTACATACCTCCCCAGCTGGAAGACCAAGGTGTTCAGACCATAGCGTAAGGCGAAGACTTGAAGAAAATTTTCCTGCCTTCCAAGGCTTTCCTCCCATACATGAATCAACAAATTCTTTGTCTTCAATAAGTACACCAATCTGAATCGACAGCATTTTTGTTAACAACTAGGAAAAACTACTACAAAAAAGTGATGGAGATTTGTACATTAAAATGAGGAGCATATCATGATAGATTTGTAGTTTGTCAAGAAGTTTAGAGTTGCTGGTAATGTGATTGGTTGTGACCAAATGGAGGAAAAATAACAACAAAATTCTGTGTTAAGAATAGCAATCTGAAAGTAAATAATTGTATCTACTACTTTAGTTATTAATTTGTAAATTTTAAAGCGTAAACTGTTCAGCAGCTTGCATCAATGGCTCACTTCACAAATATTTCAAAAGAAAAAAGAAAAAGAAAAAGGAAAAAGAAAAAAAAGAGGAACAAAGAGAATCCATGGATGCAAAACTTTCAAACTTGCATGCTTATATTAAGAACCGAGCATTATTTTTTTCCCCAAAAAAACTACAAATTCCCAAACAGAAATTCTTTGCCTCACCTTCAAATTCAGGGCTCATGTATATAGTTTCTGAAAGAAAGGGTAATGAAAAATAAATGAGCTCCATTATGAAATCAACTATGATATAATCCGGTTCTGCAACTTAAAATAGCTGGGCAAAGAATAGAAAACATTAATGCAAAAGGATCCAAAAGTTTAAGTTGATACCTCAGAATCTCTTGATCCAAGTAAACTCCTGTCATTTATATTAGCTGATCCTATCAAGGATATACAGTCATCAATTATCATGATTTTGCTATGCACATAAGCGGGCAGCGAAGGCAAGGTTGCCGGCCGACTGCCCGCGGGAAAGAAAGGAGTATAGGCCTAAATCTTATAGCTCTGATACCATGTTAAAATTGTTGTATTATTGATTGATATTGTTAATTTCTATTACAATGATTTATGATTCCTATACATAGAAGAGGGTGAGTGTGTAGTAGGTAAGGAGTAGGTGAAGTGGAGGTGGTAGTGGTGTAGTGGGTTAGGTTTAGTGGAGTAGGTGAGGTGGTAGTGGTGTAGTGGGTTAGGTTTAGTGGAGTAGGTTTAAGTGGGTGAAGTAGGTGGAGAGTAGGTGGATTTTAACACTCTTAGTAAGCTAAAAGCTAATAATCAGAAAGCACTTCTCCACTGCTTTCCAATAATCAGCTTTTTTCAGCTTATTTAAGTTATTTTTGCTTCATAAACTGTAAAAAAAGGCTACATCAAACACTCTGGCATAGATTTTCAAAATAAAAAGCTATCAACACCTGACTGGTTGCCACAGGACCACCGTCAAAAAGTCTGCCATAAGCTCTTAAGCCATAGAACGATATGTAATCAAGCATCCTAGAACCAAGAAGATCATAAAGATTATGCAATATTGAATTGTGTCCTCTGCAAATTGTTCGATATTGCCAATGCATAATGGTTCTCACAGCTGCTGCACCACCATCATCCACGCCCCCCTGTTAAAAACTTATTATGAAAACGGAGTAACTACCTAAAATTTGACATTGAAAGCAAATCACCAAGTGTTATTACCTGGAAGCCAGGTAGAAGTGGTATGACAATAAAAGCCCTGAAACACTTCTTCTCATTGTATGCTCGCATAATACGCCTATATAATGATTCTAGTATGCGGTTCCGTATAACCTCATCTCCTGAAAGACCTGAGATGAAGAATTGGTTCTGGAGATATGTGGCCCGTGCATAAAAGGAATTGTCAGAAACAAGAAAAGTGAATTGAAACTTCTGGAAGTCTCCTTGATGCAAAACCCCACGATGAAGCCAATATAAACAACAAAATACAGCAATTATAATAGACTTGGATGGACTGAGTAATAGGCAGACTACAAGATTACTATGATGATGATAGTAATGATGATCACATAACGTTTTTTTCTTCATTTCCAATTCATTGATGGCATGCTGCAGAACAGACCTTTCACACAAAGATCAGAAACCAAACCTAAGATGGAAAATTTGATAACGGAACGTGTTTGCTCTAGCAAAAACTCAATTTAAGAAATTGCTCATGATTAGAAGTTAGAACCAAGATTAATCATTAACATTCCTAATTTTGAGGTAATAATATGTAGCATAAGGTCAGGTATATGGAATCAACTATAAATTGTCTCGTGGAAAGTTAAAGCATATAGGCCACTTTGTTTCTCATGTAATAAAACTTTCTTCAGATAATTACGTTTGTACTACTTGAAGGAAAGAAATGGATTCAAGTTGTGGATAAGCATTATTATGAATTTCAACTTGACATGTTACATACTAAAAAAAATCTCAAGTTTCTAATAAAAAGTTCTCCATTACATTTTTTACCTAAATGAATTTAACACTTTAGTACTAAGAAGAAGACAGTTTCAGATACTAGCAAAATTATCTCTGTGGCTATGCTTCTCAAGAATAGTGCACTACATAATCTTTTCCTGTTCTTTTCTCCAATTTTTTCTTCAATAACTAAAATCTCTTTTATGGAGTTCTTTGAGTCCTTCTATTTATATTGCTAAACCATTGATTTTGAACATAATAAATTCACAAAAATTATTACAGTATGAACGATGAAAAATCTTATTATATACCTCAATATAGATGAAGTGTTCTGCCTTTTCAATTAGAGAGCAATAAGCATTATGAATACTCTCTTCAATTTGGCTTGTTCCAGCGGACCATTGGCTGACACTCCGTATAATCTGAAAATGAGAGGTGATGATTAAAAATGTGTAGAAAATTTAATGTATAAAGAGAAATAGAGAATTGTATTATTGATTGATATAGATGTTATGGTTACAATGATTCCTATATATAGGAGAGGGTGAGTGTGTAGTAGGTGAGGAGTAGGTGAAGTGGAGGTGGTAGTGGTGTAGTGGGTTAGGTTTAGTGGAGTAGGTGAGGTGGTAGTGGTGTAGTGGGTTAGGTTTAGTGGAGTAGGTTTAAGTGGGTGAAGGTTTAGTGGAGTAGGTGAGGTGGTAGTGGTGTAGTGGGTTAGGTTTAGTGGAGTGGGTTTAAGTGGGTGAAGTAGGTGGAGAGTAGGTGAATTTTAACAAAATGATACAAAGACAAATATAACAAACAAAATAAAATGGACATGTGAGTTGCTAAGCAACATATATGTATTTATTATATAGTCTGGGATTGGATGTAGGCAATTATATAACTATGCTTGTCCAAGGACTTCCATCAGATCAGAATATTCCCATCTCATTGTATAAATCAATTACATTACTATGCTCATCCAACACACAGACAAGTAAACTTCCTCGATATCTTGTAAAAGCATGAAACTAATAGCATGTTAAATTCTATTTTTCTACCCAACTTTAAGCCTCAGCCCATCTGTATCAACTTGAAATAGCTTTCCAAGTTGTCTCCGGAGCTTTTGTCACTAGCAAATCCAATGGCAACATCAATAAAGGTACTCAAAGACATAAATATTGAAGATAGATTTGTTCCTTTTTTAGATAATGTGAATCATTATAAAATAGACAAACTATAGGATCCAAGGATATGTCGGTTCCTGTAAATGAATATGAAATGCTAAATAACTATTGTACACAACATATGTGAAGTAGATACCAAACAAAAAATGAAGAAGAAGAAGAATATACAAGTGGAATATTGTCATTGCATAGATCTGATTTAATTCCAGAAACACTTGGGTAGTGTTTCTCTTCTTATTTTTCTTCTTTTGTGTGGGTAACTACAATTCACAAAAATTCAAAACTGAGATTCGAATAAGCAAAAGAAACCTCTGAAATGTGAATTTCTCTTTTTATATATCACAAACCTACCTAAAGATTTTAATGTAGACATCTCTCCCCAAGATCATTCATTTTGAAGCTCCTAATTAGACAATTTACACTATTATCTGATTAAAATATGAAATAGAATCAAATGAATGCTTGGTTGAATTGATCAACAAAGTAGAACAATTTCTTCAACTTGTTGAATGAAAAAATTATAATGGAGAGGAGATAACTGATAACATCAATCCCACGGGATAACTGCACAGTCTATCAGAAACTCTAATAAGATCAACATTACTGAACTTAAGAAATGTCTGGCAACTTCAAGACTTACAACCCACCTGACAATGACATGAAATACGAGGACCAACTTGCCCAGTTTCATCAGCTGAAACAACTTGATCACTTTGTTCCTGTGTCTCCCACCATTCTTTCTCTGAAGATCTAATGCCACGCAGCATCATGGCATCTGAAGGCAACTCATGCTGATAATCTGAAGTACCAAGGTCATCCACAAAGCCTTTCATTGGCAGATTTGATGTTGAAGGATCAATTTTGGGCTTACGGAAAGAGAAAGGACTTCTGTTACCCCTACTTGGCTGATCACGGAAATCCCAAGTCCTAGCCAAGCCATTTAATTTTGGGTCTCCAGTAGGAGTATCCAGCCCATCAGCCTCTTGAGGCAATAGCAGAGGGACATCTTGGAAAGATGACCGAGAGGAAAAAGAATCCTGCATTCTGATGTCTTTATGATCATTTCCAACATGGGTTTGGACCTCCATCTCTTCACTTCCACCCATGTAATGTGGAATAACCATGTGGTGTTGAGGCATGAGCAGTGGAATTGCTTGCTCATTTGGACTATGGAAGATATCTTCAAACCAGCTTGAGGGGGAGTGTTGGAAATTTGTGTTAATGTATATAATAAGATGGTGGCATGTATATAATATGATAGTGGTGTTGGTGAAGGATAGTGGCATGTATAGAATATGATTGTGGTGTTGGTGGTAGATAGTGGCATGTATATAATATGATAGTGGTAGATAGTGGTAATATATAATATGTAAGTGGCATATAATGGGTTATAATGATGTTTGTAATATCTCCTATATAAGGAGTGTCATTTGGTCTTGTAAAATAAGAAGTTTTGAATATAACAGAAATATATTCCTTCTTCCTCATATTTTCGGAATTCTTCTTCCTCATATTTTCTAAGTAAATGTCACAAGTAATTGCCATATGCAAACTACAAATGCTAGCTAGTGGCTGTTTTCAAGAGAAGAGACTTCATTTACCATCACTGCAGTACATAAAAGATTGATTTAACCCATCTGATCGGGAGACATGGAGAGCATAGGCAAATACTTTTATATCGACAAAAAAATCATACTTATGTCACTCTGATGCAAGTATATAACAATAGTAATCTGCTCTCCTGAAATTTCATTATTTTGGTCTTAAATAAATTTTCAGAGGAACTTCAAGAATACAGAACCTTAGTCTGTCAACTAAACAAATTAAGATACAGCTGAGCAGGCATAACATATCCTATTTGATCTTCTGAGAATTCTCCATTGGACTTTCTGAATCAGGATCCTAATGTGGAGATGGAGGAGCATACCTTGGATTATAGTAGTCCTTCCCCGGCCAAACCGTGGGAGGGTAATCACCCACTTGGTGTTCAAATGAGTCATATCGTCCAAAGCAAAGATCTAGTCCCCCAATAAAACAAATCTGGTAATCAACAATGACAAGTTTTTCATGGTGGGACCTATAGGTAGCCAAAAATGATTATCAGCAGCTGCAAAATCTGTTTCAATTGAAAGAAATAAAAAATTCCAAATCACAAAATCAGGAAGAACTTTCGGAGGGTTCCTTATAAACTGCATACCATAGATAGACACCACTAGAGAAATGGTCGGGATAACGTAGTACTCTGACATTCTCATGAATGCCGAGGCCGAGAAGCTTTTTCTTACTATAGACACTGTTGATTTTCAAAGCAAGAGCAACCTCTTTGTATAGAAGTATATAAATCTGCAACCATAAATTGATCAAAATCAACATACATCCAAGTGGACCAATGTAGATTTTAGTAGCAAATGGTAACATCAATGCCAATAACATAGATTCGCTTTGGAAGAAATTATTTTCATGAGTTAAAAATACGGTGGAAATAGTGAAGCTTGATGAAAACAAATCATGCACTAACATGTAAATAGATTGTAACAATGAATTGAGATGGTTGCACACAAATTTTGTGTATGCAAATTAAAGAAGAAGAAAACTAAGTGCAAATTCCAAAATATTCTTCTAGAAAGGACCCGAGGCCATGACAGCTTCTCCCTAAAACAAAAAGGGAAATCTTCTCCAATGTTGCAAAGAACATACAAATTTATAGCGGGTTGACTTGAGGGCTTGACAATTTATTTAAAATCAAAGTAAAAGATCTTCTCCAATTTGGTAGAAGATAATATATTTGTTGGGCTTAATAACAAACTATTTAACCTAAATCTTTGAGCTTCAAGCATGCTAGAGATTGATGTAGTTTCGTCACAAACAATAGATCAATCGACCATCTTAAAATAATATTAAATACATGATGAGGCACAGCACGCATCAGTTCCTTCTTCAGTCACTTATCTGGATGGAGGCCTAAGTAGAATGGACCCTTCTATAGAGGAGCCATGTCTATGCTAGGCACTGATACACTTCTTGGACATTCATAAACACATTCCTACAGTTTCTTGGATGCCTCCAAAATTTGAAGTCAAATGCTAAAGAGTGCCCCCGGGAACTTGTCCCTTGTTGAATATTGGGATTGAGGTAAAAGTGTCTTGAAAATAGCTGAAAACAATTAAAAAGTGTATTGATTTCAATAAAAAGTGCATTGAATTCCAATATTTTTCTTTCAAAATAAGGAAACACAGAGCAGTATTCAACTACATGTACTGCTTTTCCCATGTAAATTTTAATGACTCATTGACACTACATGAACAAGACATGATATGATAGCACAAAGATCTTCAACAATGTTTTCTATCATGTAGATGCCAATAATCAATAGAGTAATTTGACGGCAGAAGCAAAGGATCCGTTCAACTATCAAATTATAAAGATATCAAATTAGTAGAAAAAACTCAGAACCGATCATCACAATGGAAACTTTACAACTTATTTTGTAAGAAATCCAATAAAAAAAAGGTATCCCAAAAAACATAAGATCAATCCAGATGAAAAAATGCAGTATTAAACCAAAAAATCATTTGCAGGAACTAGTGTACCTGAACACCTTTCTTGGCTTTTTCTTCCAGTAAGGCATCAAGCCGAGAGGATGCATGAGCCTGAAAAGGACGTCGGAGGTACAGTTCTGGGCACAGCCACCAGCCACAGATAAATATCTGGCATTCAACTTTTAATCATCCAACAAGTGTTCTGTAGTCAACATTGGAAAATTAAAGTGTACTTGATTATAATTTGGCAACACTATGGCTGCAAGAAATATACCTCTGACTTTGCTTCCTCAATTGCCAAAGCAATAGCTTCAAATGCTGCTAGGCCATCTACAAACCACTGAGCTTGACTACCATCTTCAGTCAAACCCCGTGGAGGAGCAAAAGAACCAAAACGGTGAGGATGACACCAGCCCTCAGGAGGCCGAAGACCAGCATCATTAATTGCAGCAACCCAGTCATTAACTTTAGCATTGCTTTTAGTTCTCAACTGTATGTTCCGGTTCCCACAAGACACCTATTGTATTTTCCCATTATTGTCAGAATGTGACCTTTTGCAGACTTGAAGTAAATTTAACCAGATATATAATTTCACATCAACTATAACATCACAAATAAAAAGGTAAAGGTAAAGTCAAGACCAAAAATTGCCTAATAGTTTACAAAATTTCAGCCACCAGTACTGGTCACTTCTTTCTACATCGGTCAATCAGAAAAAGATCTCAGGTAGGGCAATAAAAACTCCAGCAAAAGTTCTTTATTTTTTTCAAAAGCTGTTGTAGGTCCCAGATAGCATACAAGAAGATCAGGATTAGCTGATTTTGTTTCAGAAATATTTAAACCAAAACAAAAAAACAAACCACTAGATGTACTTTACATAATTTGGGAGCAGAAGTTGCTGTAACTTGACAATTTTCAAGTTTAGAGCCCAGCTGTATTCCTCAGCAAAGGATTCTGCAATCTAAGTAATCTATGCTGTCAACCCAGTGCTCTGTGGTGATATATCAAACACATTTTGTATAGCAGTTCAAATCTATTTAAATCTCACTCGGATGGTTATTGGACTCTAGTTCTGTATGAAAAGTTACATATGTTTAAACTGATTTACCAGGACTACCTGTGTCACTAGGATGTGCATAAGTTTTCAACATCTATATGCCAGAAATACCTATCCCTTTAATTAGAGCAAACAACAATGATTAATCAACCAAAAAAAAAAAGAGTAAAGAACAAAATAACAAAGAATCTGCATTTTGAGTTCTCCACATAAAGAAGAAGAAGAAGGACGCCACTTACTTTAAATGAATGGCGTAAAGGGTTAGGTTCCTTCATTTCTTTTGCTAATGACACTCGGCCCTCTCCATTCCCATCTGAGGCTGGTAGGACATCAAAAACTATTATATCTAACGGCTTTGTATCGAAAGGATCTTTTAGAAGGGAGAAGAATCCAGGTTTCAGTACAGCCCACACCTGCCACACACACACAAAAAAAAAAACATCAACTACAATTTGAAAACTTAGTTGCAAAAAGTTGGATTAGAAGACTAACAATAACAGGATGCCAAAATAGGACCACTTGTGCCCCATGCCATATAATATCACCCAGATGCAAAAGTTCTTATTCTTGTGGGCACAATTTTCTGTTATCCAAACACTGTAATATGATGGATTTAAAGGAACTAAAGAAAAGAAAGAAAAATTAAAAATATTTCAAGGTTTGTCAGTCATGAAGCAATAAAGCAGAAAATGTAAACGGAGATTGTTCAACAATATTATGGACTTAATCAAAGAGATTGAGAGGGAGAGAGAGAGAGAGATCAGGATCATGGTAATTATTTCTTGTTTTTCTTTTCTTTTTTTCTTGGCATAAGATAGACGTTAATATGTTAATAGTTAAATTACAATGCAGACCAACATCTTTCCATGGACTCGAACCTAAAGCCTAAGTGCCCTCTCCATGACCACTAGGGCAAATGCCTGTGATCCCGTAGAATATAAGGGAATATAATGGAATATGTTAGTAGTTAAATTACATCCAGTAGGGGAGTTTGAAATACCCAGAGAACTGAAGAATCGATCCAAACGGACCACTTTGGGTTGGTTTGGTTTGGTTTGGTTTTTTAGTGCATTGGTTTGGTTCCGAGTCTTCAAATTGTCAAACCGATAGGATTGGGTTGGTTCTTGGTTTAGACTTTGTCTAAACTAAACCAATCCTAGAACTGAACCTATATATGTATATATAATTTTAAAATTTTTAGTTATTTTTTATATTGATATGTCTTTATATTACCATGGTCTTGTATTTTACTTCATATTCCTATTTTCATGAAGTTTGTGCAATTGAACAAATTTTGGATCATTAGTCTAAGATTAATAGACTCTGCTTTTCAAGCTAAATGATTTAGCCTACTAACAAGGTAAAGGGTTTAGTATGGAGAATAAGAGAACTCATGAACCGTATGTATGTGCATTATGAAATTCTAGACTTTGCTTCAAGTTATTCTTTAAATAGGATGTGTTGAAGTTCAAATGAAACGGAAGTTAATAAGCCCATTGATAGTAGTTGTGGTGAACATGTGAAATCTCTTCAATCTGAATTTTTAAAGCACTTGGAAGAACAAGAAAATGTTGATGCAAAATCAAAGGTAGACAAATCATAAGACAATGTTGATTCAATTATTTCTAATATAATGGAACCGTGGTTTCAAATCGAACCACCCTGAGCTACATTGGGTTGGCTTGGGTTGGTTCTAGTGCATGATTGGTTTGGTTCTAGATCTAAAAACTTGGAACCGATTATGATTGGGTTGTTCCAAAATTAGTGCCAAACTGAACCAAACCGATCCACGAACACCCCTAACATCCAGGTCCAACCTTCATTATAATTGGTTGTCCCATATATCTGTAAGGAAGACAGTACTCTTCTGAACAACTTTCTAGTCAAGGTTTCAAAAAGCAGTGTTATGTAACGGTTGCGGTGGTAGGCGCTACACGTTACATTCGCTTTTGCGGTGTGACGGAAATTCGCATGTGTAACGGCCGTTTCGGTGATACGTAATGGCCGTAGCGGTACCATAATGGCCCGTTACATACCGTTACATACTTTTACAATATTCTAAATAGCTTCCTTTTCAAAAAAAAAAAAACAAAAAACAAAAATTTACAAAAAAAAAAGGAAGAACGAGTACTAAACTGATCCAAGCCCAAAGAAAAAATCTTCTATGAATATTTTTTTTGTTTATAATTTTTAAAATTTTTTTATTTCATTACATTAGCATGTAATATAAATAGTAGTTGTATTTATTTTTATAATTATTTCATTTAATATTGAATTGTAAATATTTTTTATTTTGTTACGGTAATGTGTTGCCAAAAAAATGTCTTTTAAAAAAATAAATAAAATCAGTAGCTCAAAAATAATTTTTGTTTATGGCACAATTTTTATTTTTATAATCATTTCATTTAATAATTGTAAATATTTTTTATTTAGTTAGTTCAGGTATTGGTAAAAAATAATTTGTAAACATTTAAAATCAATTATTTTTAAAGTCATTAACTATTAAAATAAAATGTAAAAAACTCCTTTTATAGTGATTTAAAAATATGAAATATATTGGATCTTACTTAAAAACTAATAAAAATTGATCAAAATCTATTTTAAACCCTAATAAATGTGATTTTGGAAAAAAAAGCGTATCAGTAAGTTTTTTCAAATTTTGCAAAAAATAAAAAAATTCACAATTCCGGTTATCGCAACCGTTATGCTACGGCCTTTACACTCCGTAACCATGATCGCGCCACCACAACCGTTACGGTGACCGCAATCATTTTTCGAAACCTTGCTTCTAATCCATTTTTGAAAAAAACTAACCGATCAAAGCGCGGGGGGGGGGGGGGGGGGGGAGCAGGATAAAAAAGGAAGGGTATAAAAATTGAAGAGTCGGAACAATGGTGTGGTCTATCGACATTTTTAGCATATGAATTTTATTTGTGCCATTCTCTTCCTTTAATTATCTTTAAGGTAAACTTCAATGATACATGTAGATAAATACTAAGTTGGAAACTATTGTTCAATAGAGATCAGAAAAGGAAACAAAAATAACAATTATTTAAATTTCAAATCCAGCCATTCTCTTCCTTGATCAAGTGGAATGTGAATAAGAGTCATCCAGCTGACAACTTGGCCTTTAATCAATGTGTCATTCCTCTTTAATCAATTTGAGTTACAAATACTAAAATGTCCAAAAGTACTCACCCAAACAAAAAGTTTACTTAGTTTATAACTACCATCCTAAGAGCCTGCATAAAATTGAGTCCCCTATTTAAATGGCCAAGTAGGTTCTAAGAACTGGAAAATAAAAAAGATCACAAATATTGAAAGAGAATATAATTTCATCATGTCTTCTAGGATTTAAGGTAGATATTACTTAGTATGAGATCTGGCCAGGATAAATTGAAGTGCTCTTGGAGGACTTACATAAGGACCCTTGACTTGCCCAACCCAATAAATTGATACGTAGTCCTCTTGTCACATCCCTAGGGATGTAACTATGAATAATGTGAATTTTAAAAGAACCGGAATTGTCTGCAATCTGCGTTCTCCACCATCAAATATTAAGCAATTAAATAAATTCTTTCAAGCATCAAAGATCAAAGTTACATCACACAGAATCAGCACCATACCTGGGTTAAGGAATTCCAAACCCACTCACTACCTCCAAAAGGGTCTAGTTGTTGGAGTGATAAAGAGAGTTAATAAAACACATGCTAACTGTGGCAGGACAACCACCCGACATGACAAGGGACACAATTCTTTCTTTTAATCTTGAAGGTAAATATCAAAGACACTCACAAGAACATTTTGGTCAAAGAAGTCCGAACCCACACACCACCACCAAAAGGTCATAAGTCTTGAAGAAATGATGGGGACTTAAAAGGCTCACTAGGGTGGAACAAGTATCCAATTTGGGACGTCCCAGATTTTTTTTTTCTTTTGATCTCAAGTCAAATAACATGCACATATACAACCACACTTGGGACAAAGAATGCAAAACCATCATTTGCAATTGATATTATTCACAAATGTGATGTGTGTACAAAAATCAGTCAGTTTATGTTTGAAATTCAAAACTACTTAATCTGAACCAACTTAGCAGATGGACCGTATAAGAACAGTCCGCCAGACCCAATTATGGTCTACCATCATATTATTCTTGCGTGCGAATTTGATGCTCCCAACTAAGGAAGCTGTCAATTTCACAAGCTGCCCAAATGGATGACTGGAAGACTTTTCTACATTGTGCACCAAGCAATTTCTATGTGCCATTCTGATTCTACAATCAAGCCACTTATCTCAAGAAAGTTACTACCCATGTGCTTTTGGTAAAAAAAAAAAGAAACAATGTAAAACAAGTAGTTATTATTATCACCGAGAACACAACTTCTGCCTTGAAATATTTGCCAAGTGGTATCCTATGAATTTATGATATCTATAAGATTAACGCACATGTCAGTATCATCCAGTAAAAAAGTCTGGTACACCAGCAGAAAACTGAGATTCTTCTTCTAAATATAAATTAGATAGACATCCCAGGCCAACAAAGTAATTACCACCTGCAACATTCACATTAGTTTGACCCAATTGATTTGGGGGGAAAAAAAATTGATCATAGAAACATATACCACTAAGAAGAAATAATAATTGTCCTCTCCAATTATTCAAACCAGTTATCAATGTATATAAAGGGAAAGAAAAGCACTTAGGCAGCACCAGAATCAACCTCCATAAAAACATACAAGTTTAATGAAACAGACATATATATATGCATGGTAATTTTCAGAGATAAGGATCGTGTTACCTTTTGCCAGTTGTCATTACAACAACTGAACCAAGGACATGCACAACATCTTCTATAATCATCATTGTTTGGAATTTTTGGTAAATGCTTCACCATTACATAGTCTTCTTTTAGCTTAGGGCCATACTCCGGTGAAAACGATAACTTAGATACCTCCAAAAACTTGCAAACCTACAGTATTAAAATGCTCGCCATGAAAGACTAATATAAAAAAATGGAATAGTAACGAAAACAAATACAAGAGGTTCAATTATACAGCAAAAATCCCAGGAGAATCAAATTTCATAAATGAAGGTCCAAACGATGAAGTTGTGAGAATTGACCAAGTGATCTTTGGGGATTACTGCCAAAATTGAAGACATGTATATGCAGATATGAGCTACAGAAATACATTTCACATAATTCATGGGTTACATATAAAAACAAAGAAAATGACCTATCAAACATAAAAAAATCAATTGACTGCAAATCTTCAATTATTAAAAGGATGTAACAAAAGAGCTTGGAGATAGGGTTACTGTTCAACAGTTAGCTGAAGCAACAAAATGAGGAAACTGACAAAGATACGCATGAAAGAAGCACAGTATTATTGATCACAAAGTGATTGAATAATAGTAGTAAAAGATGAGTAAAATAGATGAAAGCACACCACTGGAAACATCAATTCTAATGACAATGGGACCACCAGTCGAGGAAAACTGGCTTCCATTCAAAGACCCATTATCACTAATTGAGAATCCTTGAAGCCTCCTCTTTGAAGGAAATATGAAGAGGCAGAATGCCCCACTGAATTTTTTTTTAAAAAAAAATTGGACCTCAGCTGAAAACCCCACCTCTGATTTACCCATAATTGGATCTCTGTCACACTAGCGATCTTCCTCAACCAGCTCCCAACCCGACCCACCAAACATCTCTCCAGATACTTCATTGTCTTCCTCATCAACTCCACATCCACCTCCACATCACAATCATCCCTACTCTTTTCACATGCCAATTGCAGAGGTCCCTCCAATCATATATATATGCATCTCCCCCACCTGGGAAAAAAAAAAAAAACAAAAACCGAACCCCAATCCCTGGCTTCTGACTGGGAACACATAGCAGATCTCTCCACTCTGGAACACAAACTGAGCACCACTTGCCTACACCCACAACAATACACAACCCTCTATTTTGCAGAGACAGCACACCCCTAAAGCAAGAAGTCTCCTTGAAGGCCGCACACAACTACCCCGGACTCCTCATGATGCAACCAAATCCAACAACTTAAACTCTTACTTCTCTATGGAGGGGGGTGAAACCCTCATCACTATCCATTGTCTCATCAAAAAGCTCTACGGCCATCCACCCTAGTTGCAGAACCACTCTCTCATCACTCATTTATCATCACAAAACTCCCACCAATAGCTGCCACAGGAAGTACATGATAACATTGATAAACCACCACAACACTGAGGACACTAACCAATGCAAACTAAACTAAGACTGGCAAATTAAGTTTGGTTTATTCAGAACACACTCCAATTGAAAGGTTTCCAAAATAAAACCCATACAATCACTGCATCGTCTCTCCTTTCGGGCTAAAACGTGCTCAAAAGGAGAGAAACCAGTGAAATTGGAACTGTAAAATCAGTGAGAAAAAATCCACCCTCAGATGTGCTGGGATGGAAAGAAGGCCATCAACCACGATACATCTTGCCTTGTTTAGTTTGTCTTCCAGCTGCATTCATGTTAATTATTGCATACGAATGTAAATTGCAGCATAACATCTGCAGTCAGTGTCTTAGCCTGATAAGTGGAAGTTTCACAAGGAAAAACCCTTCAGCCCACTAACATAAAGTAAATTGCTGGAAATTTGTGATAATGTATATAATATGATAGTGGTGTTGGTGAAGGATAGTGGCATGTATAGAATATGATAGTGGTGTTGGTGGTAGATAGTGGCATGTATATAATATGATAGTGGTAGATAGTGGTAATATATAATATGTAAGTGGCATATAATGGGTTATAATGATGTTTGTAATATCTCCTATATAAGGAGTGCCATTTGGTCTTGTAAGATAAGAAGTTTTGAATATAACAGAAATATATTCCTTCTTCCTCATATTTTCGGAGTTCTTCTTCCTCATATTTTCTAAGTTAAATGCAAGGGGGATCATACTGGACTAAATTAAGCTAAAGCAACATGGTCTTTGGCTAACAATAGCATTAGTTGTTAACAAGGCTTCCCACATTGAAAAACACATTACAAAGCAACATCCAGCAGTGCAAAATAAACTTCAGCTCTAATACAAGCACCAACAAATACACAGTTGCAACTTCATAGAAAAAGAAAACACCAAGAATCATTCACATATATCTGAATTTCTACTAGAAGCTATACCTACTGTAAAGAAGCATCAACCATCTCTGAAATAGAAGACCCCTAGCATACCTCTCGAGAGTTCACAATATCGATGTTGCTGAGGAAGTGATTCAAGTATCCTTGCATTGCAACCTTTGCTCTGTCTGATATGGAGTGCTGCCTTCCAAGAGCTGGTCGAATAATTGGAAGAGCAGCACTAGATGGAACATCTCTGAACAAAAAACCACCTGTAAGAACTATTACAATTATAGTGGAAATGATATATTTTGTGCTTTCTCAATCATCTAAACAACTAATGTGATCAATGGTCACCTGCTTCTAGTGCTTTCATCGTGATGTGAAGGAACAGTCTCATCATCATGTTCATCATCATCTTGCACAACTGTTGTGTGATCACCTATTCCTAGGTTTTGCAGCCATTCTCTAACCTTAAAGATTTTGCCGTCAATAAGAAGAATGTAAAACCATGTAACATGATAACATGAAGACCCAAAAAAATGCATTTTCACAACAAAACAACATCAAAGATTAGAAAATTGACACAAATTACATGAGATTACAAGGTAAAAAATGCGGGGACAAAAACCAAATTAAACACACCTGTTCTTGCTTTTCATGAATTTCCTCAATAAATGCACGCCTCTTCAATGCGAAGTGCAAATAAAATACTTGTGAAGCTTTCTTCACCAACTGCCACTTGAACTAGTGAATTCATTTGAAAGGGGAATGTTAGTCCACTGTCCACAGCCTATGTAGGCCTTAATTTCCAAAGGCCACTTGAACTAGTAAATTAATTTTAAAGAGAAATGATAGTCCACTGTCACCAGACTATGTAGGCATTAATTTCCAACTGCCATTTGAACTAGTGAAATAATTTTAAAGAGAAATGTTAGTCACTGTCACCAAACTATGGAGGCAAAGAAAGTATAACCATCCATCCCTGAGAAGAATAACTAACATGATGGCACTACCATGTACTTAGTAGTAGTACTATCTAGAAAGGTAAAGGACATTCTGGCTTAATTGATGCTAAACTACTCATATCTAGAGCTCATAATCTCTAATTAATAAATTCAACCCGTATGAAAATGAAAATGTCAAATTTTTCCAGTGACTCTTTTTTGTATCCACTAAAATTGAGGAAAATATATCAAAATTCTGCCAATTTTCTTATTTATTCTTTTTTCATTTCTTAGTTATTCATTTTTCCTAGTTTCTAGAAATATAAATAAATTTCAAAGTAATCAGCTGACAATTCTAGAGGGTTCAAAGTAGATAAACTCAATGCTTTCGCTCATCCCTAATTAAATCTTTTGATCATCGTCACTAATTAAAATTTCCAAAAACCTATGATCTTTTATCCTGAAATTCAAATTCTACATAAGATTTCAGCTTGCATCATAAGAACTTCCATTGATTAATTCACATGTCAATATACAACCCACAAGCAGCTACTTATGTGGGCATGTAATTCCCTAAACAATTATATACCAGGTACCAGTATAGAAAGGTAAAATACATTTTGGCTTAATTGATGTTGACTTTCCAGTTTCGTAATTCAGATGATCTTCACTCATTCAAAATCTATAGCTCATCTCTAATCTCTAATCTCTGATAAATAAATCCAGCCAACAGGAAAAGGAATATTTTCATCTTTTGGAGGAGTGTGTATGGGTCCTGTGCGATAAATGAGTGCTCAGTAGACTAAAAGGAAAGTTCTATGGAACGACTATTAGACCAGTGATGTTGTATGCGACGGAATATTGGGCAACTAAGAAATAATATATAGATAAGAAGAGTATTTCTAAGATGAGGATACTAAGTTGGATGTGTGGCAAGACTAGAAAAGACATAATTAAGAATTAGTATATTCGAGAATGGGTGTGATAAAAGATAAGTTGAGAGAGAATAGATTGAGATGGTTTGATTATATACAATGGAAACCAACAAAGACAGTGGTAAAAGATACAATATAGTGACAAGAGAATAGATGAAGATGGTTTAATTATATACAACGGAGACTAATAGAGAAAGTAGTGAAGATATACAATACAATAATGGTAGATGGAAGGGATAGGGGAAGGGATAGCCCTGGATTGACGTAGACTAGTGTAGCAATGAATCTCCTTAATTTGATTAACAAGTAGCCTGGATAAAGTCAAGTGAAGAATCAGGATTTATGTAACCGATCCTGTTTGATGTGACTTGATTTGGTTTGGTTTGGTTTGGTTTTCTACAAATAAAAATAAAAAAAACGTTTTTTTTTTTCTAGATTCTGAAAGAATTCACTTCTTTCTAGTTAACCATTAAAAAAATTCAAAGTAATCAGCTGACAATTGTAGAGAGATCAGAATTGAAAATTTTAACTCCTATGCTCATCACTGATTGAATTTGCCAAAAAGCTATGATCTTTTATCCTAAAATTCAAACTCTGCATAAGCTTTCAGCATGCAGAATATAATATGATTCCCTAAACAATTACATGAATTTGAAAGGGCGAGTGATTCAGAGATCATGCCTGTTTGTACTGGAATTCAATGGTGTAGGTGAGAAGCATGGGGCTGATATCGGCAGGGTCAGGTCTAGAAACAGACACGATTGTGGCCTTGGGCAACTCATCGAAAACTCGAGTTGATTCCAGACATTGATGCGAGAAGGAGGAGAAGAAGAACGACGACGTCGACGACTGCAACGGCAATGGCTCCGACTGCATTTGAACGTAGCGAGGTCCACCACCGGACATCAACTGCTCGGACGCCATTGATTCCGATCACGATGCTAGCAGTGTCAGTATACACAACACAACACAAATCGATCCATATAGAGAGAGAAAATAAACGGTTTCGAGAGAGAGAAAGATATCAACTGCTCGGAAGCCATTGATTCCGATCACGAAGCTGTATCTTCAATCAATCAATACATATAGGAGTCAGTATATACAACAGAACAGAAATGGATCCACAGAGAGAGAGATAGAGAGAGTGAACGAACTTGATTTTGATTTTTGTGATTTTGTTTATGAAAATGTGACGAAGCAATATCTTCGATCAATCACTGCAAATAGAACAGAGATGGATCGATAAAGAGAGAGAAATAAACGGTTTCTAGAGAGAGAGAGAGAGAGAGAAAGGAAAGAGATTTTTTATTTTGTTTTTTTGTGTGTGTTGTTTTTGCTTTTAGTATTGTTATTGAAAATGTCCTCGCATTGTAACGAACGAACTACGTTAATAACTAGAAAGCAGGTTTGAGTCTTTGGAGTTTTGAAAACGGGTTCATGGATAGTCCGAGTTCTTTTGAATTCAGATCAGTTTGGCTTTATGGTTAATAACTAGAAAGAAGACTCACCAATGATTACAAGTAAACTACGTCGGTGAACTAAAAATTTTATTAAATTTGAATAAAATTTTGATAAAAAATTTGATTTGATACTATTTATTTTAATGTCAAAGTTAAAATTTTCATTAGATTTTTTCAGGTTTCCTTGTTTGAGTGAATTTCTTAAAGGTTGTTTGATAAAAGATGAAAGACTTCTTTCATTTGCCTTTATTTGATATGACTTTGATAAAGGATTGGAGCGCCTCATTTAGTGCTTTTCATCAAATGATGAAGCATCTTATACTAGATTGGAGATGCTCTCACACAGACAAAGTACCATTTTGATGGAAAAAAAAAAAAAAAGAAGAAAAAGAAGAAGAGGAGAGAGGGGAAATAATAAGGATCATTTGGAGAATTGATTTTTAAAATAATTTTTTTGATTTTTTCATGAAAAACACTTGTTAAAAAAAATACAAATTATATTAACAGTCTTTATAGTTTGAGATTTGTGTCACTTTAGTCCATGATGTTTTAATTGTAACACATTTGATTTTGAATTTTAAATTTTGTTATAAATAAGGACAATTGAAGATATCATTACTCAATTTCAAAGGTAAAGTCATCAATTTGGTCAAATATAAACTAATTTAACAAAAACAAATGTCAAAAAAATATTTTTGAATTTTTAAGAATTATTTATACCCCAAAAAAAAAAATACGTAAAATTGATAAATCTTTTAGACATTTATTTATTTTTTACCAAATTAATTTTTATTATGTGTTTGGATAATGATCATATAATGGATGATTGTTAGACTTTTAATGTCTAATCGATATATTTAATATATGAAATGTTTTTAGTTTTGAATTTTTTGATTTAATGGATTGGTTTAATAATGATATTAAAGTTAGAGCATCTCCAACGGTAGTAGGCATTTTACCTATTCAAATATTACTATAAAGTATATACTTTATTTTGCCTATCAACTGTTTTATGTTTTTACTCCAACCATGCTCTTTATTTTAGCTATTTATCCAAATACTATTAATTTTATAGAATGTCACGTCAACAATAAAGATGGAGGGAAATGATCCTAATGATTAAATACATTTTGCCTAGCGTTGAAGGCTAGCTACATGTAGCTAGTGAATATGAGTTGAGCCAAAATGCCTAATCATATGCCTAGTGCATTGGAATTGAAAAAAGTGAATCACACTAGGCATTTTAACTAACAAGTATTATATGTCTAGTGCATTGGAGATGCTCTTATAGTCATATTTAACTTTTAGAAAAATAGAAATTAATTTAAAGAAAATAAAAATAATCACCCATTACATGATCATCATCTAAGCACATAGCATTTTGGAGCTAAATAATTACAAAAAGAAAAAATAGTCTATATAAGCCAATAAGACAAAATATTACTTTGTACCCATAATAATTTAATTTTTTCTTTCACAAAAATTAAAAAAGTCCCAATACAAAAAAGTTGACTAAAAAGGCCAATGCCAAACGAACACACAAAACTTAATTTGGTAAAATAAATAAATGTATGAAAGATTTATTAATTTTACACAATATTATCATTGGTTGGTAGAAATAATTTTTAAAAATTTAAAAATATTTTTTGACATTTATTTTTATCAAATTAATTTATATTTTATCAAATTGATGACATGACCCTTGAAATTGAGCAATAGTAAACTCATTTGTCCTTATTTAAAATAAGATTCTAAATTCAGGATTAAATGTGTCACAATTGAAAAATCAGGAAAACCCCAAACTATAGGCTCTTTAATTAGCCAAAAAAATAATAATAATGGATTGACTTTTCGTACTATTTTTTTTTTATAAAAAAACTTTTTGATTATTTTATTTTCTGTTCAAACAACCTCTAAATGAGAAAAGAATAAAGAGTGTGTGAGAAATTTTATTTTATTTTTTTATTTAACTATTGTAAACAAAAACAAAAAAATACTTATTGACAAAAAAGGAATAAAAGTATGTAAGAAATTTTATTTTTAAATGAATATATATATATATTTTAATGATTTTTCATCATTCTGTAATATATTTTTTTTATCTAACCATTTTCAAGTTATATTTAGATTATTTTAATTTACAAAGAGAAGCAAAGGAAATGAGAAAAGAATGCATATGTTTTTAATAAAAATAAAATAAAATATTCAGTCACTCATAAAAAGTAAAATATATACATAATTTATTTCTTTTAAGTTGTTAAGAATATGGCACTGCAGAAAAATATTTCATGAAAAAGATGGATTAACAAAAATAAAATAAAAATAATATAATTCTTATTAATTATTTAATTTACAAGACACAAAAATAAATTAAACTTTTTCGCAATGTACAATCCTATATTTTTTTACAATAAATTATATGAGGAAAAAAAAAACACTACCTTCATGAGAATAGTTATGATAAAACTTATATATTTTTCTCAACATCTGAATACATATACACAAATATATATATATATATTATACACAAAAATATATATATATATATATATATATATATTTCTTTTCCTATCAATATTTGTGCACTTGAAATTTATGAATATTATGTCAGTGTATTAACCAAATTGTGAGGACCACCTGGCAAGCTATTTGCAAGTGTAAATGAACGAACAATCATATCTAGAACAATAAACAAGGAGCAATGAATTATCGGTGGTGCTACAGGGCGGTAAATTATACGATTCTTATGCAGGGCGGTAAATTATCGGTGGTGTTACGTGCATTAGTTAATGTACTAATACTAGTAATGATATTATTATTGATTTCATTCATTATACAAATTATAAATATTAAAAACCTCTTAAATTATGCCACATTATCAATTGATACACTAATTAGTGTAAATAACATTATTCGTAAATTATCTATTAATTGATACATATAATATTATTCATATTTTTATGAATTTGACCATACATTATTATTATTGCATCATTTCAAAACATGTTATTTTTAGTAACTTTTAACTTTTTACGAAAATATATGCATAATGTTAAATATATAATAACTATATATTCTGTTTATTATACATATCCTATTATATTTATTACTATATTTAAGATTATCATACTTAGGTTTTTCTCCTCCTATATAAAGAAGTCTTGTATACATTGTTACATAAATTATTCAACATACAATATTAAATATACAAATAAAATAATATGAAAAATGCTATAGGCTCTAAATTTTCTACCATAATAAAATAATATGAAAAATGCTATAGGCTCTAAATTTTCTACCAAATGAATTATCAAATGTCTCGCAGTAGACCACACACCCATGTGAGACATTTGGTCATTTATTTGGTAGAAAATTTGGTGTCTCTAACCTTACGCCTATTATCTTTCTCTCTCTCTTAGATATCGATAACCTATATATAAAAGAGTGAAAGCAAGCAGGTCCTTTGCATCTAACCCAACAAAAAAACAAAACACCTGCGCATGGAAGGGGTGGAAGTTTCTTCTGATGATTGTTATGCTTCACCTGTGAGTTTCAAGGAGGTAAGATTCTAGGCGAGTTACGCATATATATTAGCTTCTACAAGCCAACACAAGACAACCAAAATAATTGTCAACCAGAATTCCTCCATACCTTAATCCCAAATAGGATACTGCCTCATGAGTTACATTTAAAAGAACATTGCCCAATCATGCTCATTCGAAACATAAATCCATTTGCTGGAATGTGCAATGGTATCCGGCTCATATGCAAAGCCCCAAAATCTAATGTCATCCATGCAAAAATTGCAATAGGCCATTACAAAGGCCGCCTTGTTTTCATTCTTAAAATCCCACTACAACCAGCAAAAACAAACAACTTTCCATTCCCATTCGAATGCAAATAATTTCCAGTGCGATCTTGCTTTATAATGACAATTAACAAATCTCAAGAACAAGCATTAGGCAATGTAGGCATATATCTTCCTCAACGTGTTTTTTCTCGTGGCCAATTATATGTCTCACTTTCTCGAGCACAACGTAGTACCAACGTAACTGTTCTAATCAAATCTTTCAACCAAAGAATTCATTCACATAACCAAACAAGAAATATTGTATACAAAGATTTTCTTAAAAAAACATTACAGGTATATACATTGCATTGCACACAAATATAGCTTAAAAGAAATTACTAAATCATTATCTTTCTCCAACAGAAATGGCAAACAACATGATGACAATAGACCAGTTAACAGATCGTACAAGAACTTGGAAAACTCAACTTCATGTGGTAGAAAAGCAAGAACCACATACTCCCAAATCTGGCACAACAATTCAGCGATTCATTCTGGCCGACACTAAGGTACATTTTTTATACTATAATGAAATCGGATTACTTAAGATACAATTTTACATACAAATATTTCCTTACTCATTATGTAACTATTCAATCTCAAGGCTTTAGAATCCAAGCAACTTGTTTTGGAGATGACATTGCGACATTTGGTGCGCTATTACAAGTGCATAAATCATATTACTTTTCAAATGGCACCATCAAACATATTGAACCTCGACATAGAATTGTCGATAACAACATCCAGATCTTGTTAAATTCGAGATTATCAATTGAGGAGATTAGTGAGCCAATCGAAACACCAACTGAGGAACCATACAATTTCACCAAAATATCAAGCACATCAAGATTTTTGGAGACAAACATACATTTTGGTAGGAAAAAGATAACATGTCCGCATAAATGATTTACGCAAGATGGTATCATCTCATTATATATTCAAAAAAGCAAACAAACTAATCCCTCATGCTCAACTTTGATAGATATAGTTGCAATTGTCATACATGTTCTACCAGGTCGAACTATGA